CGCCGTATTCATCAGACCTTGCTCCTTCAGATTAAATAAATAAATAAATAAATAAATCTACTTTTCATCACCAGTCACAATTTGATGCAAAAAAGACTTTCTTTCATGCCTTTGAAGCAACATTGTACTGATGACTTTTCAATTTCCCGTTTGTGTTTCATTCAGTTGATGTGGCACCCATCGTCCTTCCTTGAAAATCTTTCGCATTGCTTGTAAATGATCGGAAATTGTTTGCTGAGCATCGTTTAATCTTTCTGCAAGTTGTTTTTGAGTTTGACACACATCTTCATCCAATAATGCTTGTAATTGTTGGTCTTCAAACTTTTTCAGTTGACCTGGACGTTCTTTGTCTATCACATCGAAATCATCACTTTTAAAGCTTTTTAACCAGCGTTCACAAGTAGCTTGAGATGGAGCATGTTCACCATAAGCTTCCCGAAGTATTCAGCAGCACTTTTCTTCAAAATAAATTAATTAATTAGAACTTTCCACAAATGCTCTTTTTTGGCACAAAATTCAATATTTTTAAGTGTAAAAATATCTATGATGTTAGCAACGTCAGCAAATTTGACATATGAAGTTCTGAAGCTTGTTGTCAATACAACAAAATAGCATACATATCAAATTTCATATATATCCCCATATGTGTAACTCCATCTATTGAAAAAAATCCATTACACCTTGTAATTAATCAGTACACCTGATAATTCCAGTTTGTTACTGGGAGAGTGTCTGTACAGCATCCACTTACTCTGCCCCCATTTTTAATCTCTGAGTCAATAATTGTAATTTCCAAATAATATTTATATTATACTAGAGGCCCGATGAATGAAATTCATGCAAGAGGCTTGGAACTCGCATCCCCCCCTGCCTCGGCTGGCTCTCTCAGCCCCTCACAGCCTCAGCCAGGCCTCACAGCCCCTTGCAACCTCGGCTATTTGCCTCGGCCCTCGCAGCCCCAGCTTCATCTGAACGTAGTCTGGAAGGTCGTCTGGAAGGATGTCCAGATGGTTGATAGGCTGTCCAGTATAATTAGAATATAATGCTTTTATTATTATAGATGACATGTAAATGTTTTGTTACAGTGCCTGTAACATAATCAATTTCCAATAAATTTGAGTCAATATTTTTTAGTCATGAGAAATTTGAGTCTCAATTAATTCATTTCTTTAATGAAAAGAAATACAAGGTATTAATCCTATATAATAAAGAGGTAATATGCTAATAAGACAGGAAGGCAGAACAACCTTCCAGAACAACCAGTTGGCAGGTCCGTGGGGCCACGAGGCAGCCAGGGCACCAGGGCCAAGACAGTCCCTTTGGACAAATTTTGTGCATCGTGCCTCTAGTCCTATCTAATAAAGAGGGAATATCCAAATTGACCGTCATGCCATCACAAAGATGGCAGTGCCCACAGCAGAGGCGGATTCTGTAACACAAGATGGCTGCACCCACAGTGGAGGCCGAGTTCCCATATGAGCCTTAACAAGCAATCAGCAAGGACCTAAGGCTGTGCCCCCCGCCTGGTGGGATTTGACAGGGGACCTCAGGTTATCCACCCGCCCCGGCACCGGGCCAGGCAACCTGAAGCCATATCCCCACCCGGTGGGGCTTGATGGGTTGGGGCCGGCCAGGTCTAAATCTAGCCCAATGGGGGTGGGGCTGGTCAGTTCAGGGTCTCGCACAATTTTGAGGTGCACGTGGGTGGGCGAGGACTTGATTCTGGGTCCTGCGGCAAGCCCCAGACTCTGACAGGAGGAAGATTTTCATATACATTTTATTAATTTTCGTTCATCTCTGACACTTCTATTATAGAGAAAGGGCAAAGAGCAATATTAAAATATTTTCTCTAATTAATTCCCTTTTAATGTGCACAGACTTTATGCACCAGGTCAC